TGGACAAAATGCAACAATTTCAGAGATAAAACATTATTTTGAAATATTTTTGGGTTGTCCATAGAAATATTCACCATTCCTATTACTTCAATCTTTACTAGAGGTCCTCCCCTCACCCTTGCCCCCCAGTAATGTAAAAAATATATATCTACACATAGAGAGAGCACTGGTTTCCTGAGTATTTGCTTGGAGACCTACATCTTTAAAGCTCTTAGAGATGGAATGGATGTAGGTGTTCCTCAAGTCCCCATGGGTGCAGGAATTGGCACAGCTCCATCTCCAGCCTCTCCTGGAGCCCCCTTCATATTCTGGGGCCCACTACTCTGTTGGAGAGCCCTGGTTTTATGGAATTTTCTTCGTATTAAGCCAAAATCTGTTCCAAGTTTCCCCCATGAGTTCTCATTGAGGCCTCTGGGACAACATATACCCCTGGTTCACCTTAGAGACATTTAGATATCTGAAAACAAAGATGATTGTGTTGCTGGTTCTCCCTACCCCCTGCCCAGGTTACAGTCCCCTGGTTCTTCACTCTCTTTTTGGATGACATGGTTTTAGACCCCTCCCCAATGTCTGCCCCCTTCGGGTCTCTGTAGTTGGCTACCTTCGTTTTTGAGGAGGCCCCAGACTGCAACATCAGACTGCCCTGGGGCCTGACTGCTGCATCTGTGGCTTTATTATCTCCCTCCATCTGGACACCCACCTCTCTGGATGGAGCCCAAGATAGCTTCACCTCACAATTTTGGCTTCTATTAAGTTTGTAGTAAGCTACATTTCCATGTCTTTTTTCAAATGAAATTGCTTCTCCATCCTGCATTTATGTAATGAGTTTTCTGATCAAAAGATGTTCCGGTATGTTCCTGTTAAATTTCCCCTATGATATTAATCCTGGGAGGCACCATTGTGTGAAATATGCAAGAAGATTGGAGAAAGATAAACCTGGATTCAAATCTGCATCCAGTATATTAACTGTATGATCTTGGGGGCAAATATTTAACCTCTCTGAACCTTAAGTTCTCTAAGTGTAAAATGGACTACAACACCCGTAACTCATTTGTCCCTTTCCCTCCTTCACTATAGATTGGAAAAACTCAATATTTATATTCTCAGCCCCCCTTATGGCCTATGAGGACCCATGTGACAGATTTTGGCCAATGATGCAAAAATGGAAATTGGCTTCCAGTCTGTTGTGGAAAACTTTTGCAGTTTAGATAAAAGGGGTAGTTGTGAGCATTTGCCCTTCTCCTCTACTTCCTGCTGTGAATGTAGATGGTTGGAGCTGCAGCAGCTACCTGGTGACCAGGGGGGATGAGCCAAGAGAATCACAGAGATGCCATATTTGACAGTGCCTAGCTGCTAAATCACCTGTGGTTGCCTCTAATATATGAGGGAAAAAAACCCTATTATCTACCCAGCCAAACATCTGTTTAACCTAACTCAGCACTTGAAGTGTAGGGATCAGGGACTCTTGAACATATTATACGGATTGCTTGATTTCATTTACTTATTATTTATTCCTGTTAAGATATATCCTTTGGGTGTTATTATGCATTATTCCAGACTCCAAGATCTCTTTGAACTATAATTGTTACCCAAATTATTGGATATTCCTCAGAGGTTTGTGAAACATACAATATTTAATAATATTTCAAGTTATCATCTAAAACATTGAGCATGATAGGGCAAAGCAGGGCCCCCTAGCCCACCAGTAGAGACCTCTCCACTTGTATGGGGGTGTTCACCCAGCCATGGATCTTCTAATTGTGCTCTAAGTCCACCCATATTTCTCCACCTTGTGCCCAAGAAACTCATGAAATGCCTTAGCCTAACTTTCAGGAAAACAAAAATTCACTGTACTTCCGGAATGCCCTAATGCACCAGTTAAAACCTCCTTCCCAGGAGAAATGACAGCAGCATGGAATGAGTGCTGGGATTCATGTGATCTTGGCTCCACCTTGTACCACTCAACTCCACTTTAGAGGATGTGGGATGTGGGGAGACGGGCCTTGTGAGGAGAGTGCCAGGAGTTTGGGGATTTTAAAGCACGTTCAGTCCTTGAAGGGCACCAAGTGAAGTGATAACCTTTTACTATCCAGCTGTTTCTATTCAAATCTGTTGCCCCTGGGCTGTTTTTCACAGTTGAACCAGGAGGCCAACCTACCCAGCTGGGTATTCCTCTTTTGCTCAAGATTCTTTCTGGACCCATAGCTATTGTTGTTATTGGCAGAGTCTATTGCCTTTGTGTGACCTAAACTTCCTAAAGGCCTTTGCTCCCAAAGCCCTTCAGGTCCTGAGAGCTGTGGACCATCTTGGTTTTCTCGTAACTGCAGAGCTTCACCTGGACTGTCTGTCAGGAGTCAGGCAAGCTTGTTTCGGTTGGATGGAGGGCAGCGGGGACCAGTTGGCTCCTTTCTGGGTGTCTGCCAGCTCCCGATGACCCCTCCTCTTCTGGTCCTGGGCCCAGTCTACGGGTCAGAGGGTGGCCGAGTCCTTACCACATGCACCCCTCCCCCTGCCTGCCAACTGACTGGTCAGGAATAGGTATTAGACTGAAACTGGGTCGGATTCTCTCCTAAAACTTCAAATGGGGCTGACAGAGGTTGTCTCTGTGTAAGCAAGCTTGGGAGTTGAAGGGCAACCCTTTTCCGGCCCACGTGGACTGAGTAGCAGAGACAACTGGTCTTTCTGGAGAGCAAAACACAGCACTCGAGCGGAGAGCTGTGAGAGCGCCTGGTCTATGGTTCCAGGATCTTCCTACCGCTCAGCTGTGTCTCCATTCATTCCATGAGACACCACCTGTGTTCTTCATAAATTGTTCGCTTTTGGGGCTGGCCCAGTGGTGCAAGCGGTTAAGTGTGCGCGCTCCGCTGCGACGGCCCGGGGTTCGCTGGTTCGGATCCGGGGCGCGCACCAATGCACCGCTTGGCAAGCCATGCTGTGGCGGTGTCCCATATAAAGTGGAGGAAGATGGGCATGGATGTTAGCCCAGGGCCAGTCTTCCTCAGCAAAAAAAGAGGATTGGCAGATGTTAGCTCAGGGCCGATCTTCCTCACAAAAAAAAAAACAAATTGTTCGCCTTTGCTTAAGCTAGTCAATGGGTCCTTTATTAACAATAAACTGGAATACAGGGTATGGGCATAACCCTGAGGTGTCCCTCGATTTAAGTAGTGGCAATCTGTTATCCTGACTCCACCCATTCGTCAGCAAAGCAGCAGAGTAGAAAGTGCATCTATGGGACCTGCCTTTTCTAGAGGAGCTGGCCGTCTCCCCAGGGCGGAGAGCAGAATAATCAGGGATCATGATGCTGTGAGTTAAGACAGTCTCATCCACTCTTACATAAAACCAATTGTTGACCTGCCATTTCCACAACCGAAACAGTAAAATCAGCCCACAAACGCTCACATTAATAAGGGAACTGGGGCCATAGAACAGCAACGAGACACAAGGATGGTAACTCTGATTTTTTTTAAAATTGTGGTAAAATACCATTTTAATAATTCCATGGCACTAAGCACATTCACAATGTTGTGCAACCCTCACCACTATCCATTTCCAGAACTTTTTATCATCCCAAATGGAAACTCTTTGCTCCTGAAACAATAACTCCTTATTCTCCCCTCCCCCAACCTCTAGTTATCTCTAATCTACTTTCTGTCTCTATGAATTTATCTATTCGAGGAAGCTCATGTAATTGGAATCATACAGTATTTGTCTTTTTGTGTCTGGCTTATGTCACTTGGCATAATGTCTTCAAGCTTCATCCATGCTGTAGCATGTGTTGGAATTTAATTTCTTGTTAAGGAGAAATTAAGAATATTCCATTGTATGGATTTACCAAATTTTGTTTATCCACTCATCTTTGATGGACATTTGGGTTGTTTCCATCTTTTGGCTATTGTGAATAATGCTGCTGTGAACACAGGTGTTCTGATATTTAATGTTAACGGCATTCAGGGCCATTTTGATTCTTTTATTTTTTTTTTTAAATGTTAAGAATCCAAATTGAATCAAGGAGTGGAAAATAAGAGCAGGTTTTCGATGCCTCTGCGCTTCCCTTCTCATAGCATTTCTCTCTGTTGTAGTTGCCCACTGGATTGTAGACTTCCGCGCGGGGACTGTGTCTCCTACACTAGTGGCTTGGTGAGCGGGCAACCTGGTTAAGCTGGACTACACTTCCCAGCGTTCCCTGTCCTGCAAGGTTCTGGTTCGAGGAGCACAAAGGGAGGAGATCCTCGTGGGGGGGTCTGGAGGAGGGAAAGAAGTGGCAGTCATTCTCTTTGTCATTCACACACACTGTTGCTTATTTGCTTATTGGCTCACTTCAGCACCTCCCACTCTCAGCCAGTGTGTTGAGCTCCACCACAAAGGGTCCGGGCTGATGTAGGACCCAGACCACCAGCATCAGAGGAACAAGAATTGACAGGGATTTGTCCATCTTTGTGGGCTCCAGCCTGTCCCCCACTTCCCATCCATCTGTCCTTCCCAACTGTCTGCCCCGTGGGCTCCATGCTCCAGTATCAGACGCAAAGACAACAGCAACATAGAGCCTGCTTAATCGCTGTGTAAAGTCAATCCCTGTAACAAATTTCATATATTTAATATTCTGCTTCTCTGATTAAACCCTGATGAGTAGGCCCTCATTTATTCAACCAACAAATATTAATTGAGCACCTACTATGCACCAAATAGTAGATTCTAGGTGCTGGAGGTATGGCAGTGAATAAACAGTGCCATCAGGGAGCTCCCATTTACTGCTGTGTCCCCAAGACAGGAATGAGTCCTGGGCTGGGTTCCAGTGTTGCCTATCAACAACTGTGTGATCTTGGATCAAAATCCCTTCATCTCTCCGTGCCTTGATTCCTTCATTAATAAAGCAGGGAGACTAACTTTCCAACCTCCTTCTCATATAAATGCAGTCACAGCAAAAGCAGTTGAAAGACATCTGAAAAATAAATCCCTCTAAAAAAATAAAGGAAGTAAAAACCAGAAACCAGTTGGGGATGTTGTCATAATCTTTTATTATGTATCAAATTGTCTTCAACATAAGTTACAACCTGATTAAATTTGATAGACATTTTTTATCTATTTAAAGACAAAAAAATTCTCTTTATGTACAATATCTTTTGTCTAGAGTCTAGCAAATATAGTACCTTTCATTGCAGGATTTCTGCTTAACATAATAAGCAAAAACAAACAACCAAAAAATAAAAATAATCAAAGCAAACAAAATTCCCAACTCCCTCAACTACAAATATCAATATTGAATAAAGCATTAAAAAGACAAACAGAATAACTTTTTTGTGTTTAGAAATGCAGAATGAATACTAAAGTTAGTGGCAAAAAAACAAAAACAAAAAACAAAAACAAAACCCCAAGAAAGCAACCGACGATCTTCAGGGGTAAACCTTCCTGCTCAGGGTGCAGGCCGACTCTAGACCATCTCTCGGCTCCTGCGGATGGCACAGCACAGGATCATACTGAAGATCATGCCAAAGATCTGGAAGACAGGAAGGCACGTGAGGGACAGGGTGGCTTTGCTGACGGAAGGCTGAGGGAGAGGAAAGACGAGTCATTCAACATGAGACAAACGACAGGGAGAATGGTGACCATGAGGCCAGACGGGTTCCAGGGTGCTAAAGCAGGAGTGATGTAGGTTAGATGAGGGAAAGGACTGCTGACAGGTGGGATTCTGACAGTCTGCAGCCACTTGCTAATGAAAGCTGCACGAGCACCTGCCCTGAAGACCTTCCAGGGTGAGACAAATAAGCTCAGAGCTACGTTTAATGCTCAAATTCCAGACAGTCCAATAGTCCATACAGGCTAGTACTTTCACTTCCATCTTTGTGTGTGTCTGTGTTTTATATTCTATTTTAAAAGGTATTGTTATGCCTCTTCCGGAAAGCTGCTCCCAGGCTTTCTTAGATGCAGATGAGGAGTGCAAATAACAGGAAGGAAGCAATTCTCTCTTTCGGGGTAGTCTTGCAAGTGGCAGAGGAGGGCCTGGGGGAAGACTCTGGGATGTTAGTGAGCCAGGCTGTCCCAGTGAGGACTGTGTCCCCTACAGGGTCACTCCCTTATGGAGAAAGAGGGGATGACTCCAGGGAACCTTGTTGGCCCTTGATGGTTTCTAGGGTCTGATTGTCGGTCATTGGAAGCTTCCGTCTTTCTTCTGGCTGTCCACCTTTGGTGCCCTTCAGACTACAGGGGGAGGTGAAACAATTCACATCCATGTAGCTTTTACTGAACTTCTTTCTTGGGGAAAATAAGAGCAGGTGCATGAGAAAAACGTTATGAAGATTATCCCAGATAACTAACAGGTCTGGGTGATCTCCATCCTTGCTACTCAAAGCATGGTCCAGGGTCCAGCAGCACTGGCATCACCTTACATTTACCCCTGAACCTTAATGGTGAAGAGAATGGATTCTGGAGACACACTGAGTTCAAACCCCAGATGCTTCACTCAGGAGCTCGGAGACTCTGATCAAATTACTCAACCTCTCTGTCTCTCCGTTCCCTAGTCTGTAAAGCGGGGAATACTAATAGTTCCCACCTCATAGGTAGGGTGAGGATTAAATGAGTTGATAAATTAGTTGGCCAGAGCATGTGCTTACTAAACGTTAACTACTAAGAGGAGCATTCCCCCACCACGACGTTCCCACCACTCACCATCACCACGGCAATCCCGATGCCCACTGCGCCAATGATGTGGAATTTGTTGTCAAAGACCTCTTTGATGGCCTCAGGGCAAGACTTAAGGGGGCAAACCAAGACTTAGGTCACACACAATCCCTGCTCCAGGGAGCACCCCCTCCCGCCCACAGCACCCATTTCACACTGAGGGCACTGGTGGTCCCAGACAAAGGGCTGGGGACAGGAGTGTTCAGGTGTCGTGGCTGATGGATGGAAAGGAGAACCCAGAGAGATAGGTGAGGTGGGTCCCTAAAATTTGGGCGAGAGAGCAGGAAGGGAAGAGGGGTAAGCCCCTGCTCTGGGGTCTGTTTCTTATCTGGGTTACTTTTCTTCTGATCCTGAAGTTTGGATATTCGCTCTAGTGTACAATAAGGAGCTGTTTACAAGTCTACGAGCAGGAGTCCAGGACTTAGAGCACACCTGTCCTTGATGGCTTGAAGGCCGGGTGGGGCAGAATGTGGGGCAGCGGGCAGTTCCAGGTGCCAATCATTGGAGGCAGCTAGAACACTTTCTATTTCCCCTATTTGTTTTGCTGCCCTTAAGGAAACAGAGGCCCCAGGGCAGAGGGGAAATGAGATGGCCACCCTGGGCCCTTTCACAGGTGGAAGAGGTGTTTGTGGATACCTGTCTCCCCAGAACAAGAGGGCAGGGGCACAGAGTCTTGCTCTGAAGTTTACCTTCATTGTGATGGTTGAGACGAAATCCTTCGAGGGGCAGATGTCCGAGATCAATTGTTCCACTCCCCCAGCCACACCACAGCAGCCCAACTGCAGAGAGAGGGATGGGGGTGAGAGAAACAAATAAAAAGATGATTGATACAGACACGTGCGGCAAGCCCCCCCATGTGCACAAGCGTTCACAAGAAAGGTCAGAAGGGTCGGAGTCTTTGCAAAGACGACCTACCGCATAGTGGATGGCTTTCAGCGTCTCCCGCTGGGGGTCATCCTTGGACTTCAACTTGTTGTAGGTGTCCTTGTAAAACTCCTGGATATCCTTAATCACCTATGATGGACAGACAAGAGAGAAGCAGAGATGGCTTTTTCATGAACACATGTTACCTGTTCCATCTTGTTCACAAACGAATTCCAGTGCTTGGAAAACATGGCTGAGAGCAGACTGAAGCCCCTGGACTGGTACCGCCTCTCTTGGTGCCTCCAGGGCCCCTCCCTTCTCCTCCCACATCCTCTAGGAACCTGCTCCGGCCATTCTCCCTTCCTCTCTTGCACCTTCAGTCGGTCCCTTCAGCCCCACATGGCTCCTTCCCTTCTACCTATGAACAAAATTGAATCTCTTCAATCTAAAGAAAAAAAATCCTACTCCCAACCTGGCTGGGTCCTCAGGCTTCCATCTTCTTTTTTCTTCACTTAGAGACAGTGTGACTTTTGGCAAGTTACCAAACATCAGTGTTCATATATGCAGGATGGAGATTATAACAGTCCCTACCTCAGAGGTTATGGTGAGGATGTAAAGGAGATATTACATTTAAGCCCTTATCACAGTGTCCGGTACAGAGTAAATCTGGAATAAGTATTAGCTATTATATTATGAAATAAAGGATATATTATTATCTTCCTGTACCCGTGTGCATCCCAGTTTAACAGATGCCTCTCCCTTGGTCCCCTTTCCCGCCAACATCAATTAACTGACCCACACCGAGCATTTCTCCTTTAGCATCTTTCATAATTATCCCTTCCTATTTCCATGGCTGCAGCTTTTATCATCTGCATAAATCTTTTTTTTTTTTTTTTTTTTTAAAAACAGGGTCCCTGCATCCAACATCTCTCTTCTTCCCCCTCCCTGCTAAACACGACAAGACAGCTCTTCCTAAAACATTGTTCTGAGGTGGGCCATCCTGGCCACAACTCTTTGGTGGTTCCCCATGGGATCCCAAGCTCAGCTGTGCTCAGACCCTTCCTTTGCTGGGAGTCCCCTATCTCCCACCAACTTTCCTCCTGAAATCCTATCTCCCATTTAAGGTTTAGGTCAATGCCCCCTTCTCCATGAAGCCAGAAGCAATTCCACTTCCTCACCTAACCTTTCAAATCCCATGGGACTTTTGGATATAAATGACTTCTACGACACTTATCAAATTCCTGTCTTTCTCTCACACTAGGCAGCAAGGTTCCTTGAAGTGGGGGACCACAGCTTGTGCATCTCTGGACCCCGCACAGGGCCTGGCACAGCACTTCATGGTGGCACATATTTATAGACTAGGTGAAGGAACAGGGGTGTCCAGCCCACACAAAGCCATGTGTCCCTAAGCCACCTTTCCAAAGGAGGTGGGGAAAGGGCTGCTGAGGTGTGAGATGGAGACACACACACAGACACGCATACCCAGGGAATATTTCCTGAACATCTCCTGTGTGCCAGCACTGTTCAGGGCACTGGAAGCAGCGGTTGGCACAAGCCCTGCACAGGGAAGTATAAACACTCACATTCCCTGCCCTGGTAGAGCCCGTGTTCTGATGGGCATGTGGGACGTGAAATAAGAGGCATATTTGATGGCTGAAGGCTGACCAAAGCGACCAGCCAGGACAACCTTCCACACTCGTCACCCCCATCCCCCAACTTCCAAACCCACATCACTGTAGGCAGGTCCCACAAGACCTTATGGGAAAAACCTACCTCATCTTTGTGGGAATATCCCCAGATGGCTGCAGCGATTTCGATGGCAAATATCACCAGGAGGAAGCAAAAGAACTAGAAGGCAAAGAGGGCTGGGTGAGGAACAATCCCAGCCAGCCAACCAGGAAAACCAAAGGGTATTTTGAGAACAAGGAAGAATGACGACTTTCTGGAGATAGGGATCTGGGGGCACAAATGAACAGCCTGGCAGGGCTGGGAAGACGTTTACAGAACCACGAGAGTTGAGCCAAGGTAGAGGTGGAAGTCGTACTGTGAAGGCTCCCAGCCTGAGGAAAGGACTAGACACAGGAAAGGACTAGACACAGGAAAGGACTAGACACGGCCCACCTCAGAACTGGTATTTCTAAGGTGTTAAATTAAGGGTCAGTCAGAGATAAAATACCATTGCTCACTCAAAAAAACTATAGAGATCTAAGGAAACAGAGAATGTGAATACACTCTGGAGTTTGAGAAAAACTGTAACAAATTTTGAAATAAGAGAAGGCAAAGGTACCTGTGGATTCAGGGAAAAAAAGCAAATGTGGTCCTCAAAAAAGGGAAAAACAAAGCCCTGGCATTTAGTTGCCTAAGGGAAGTGACAAGAGAGAGGCTCCAGAAAGGAAGAGGACAGCATGTCACCACAGGGGAGGAGGACAAGATGGCCACCCAGCTAGGAGGCGGGGGCAGGGTCTGGAGTGCAGGGACACTGGGGGGCTGAGGATAGCTCATGCCCTTGGGGTTCCCTCTTCACCTCATCCCACCCCATCTGTTCTATGAGACCTTGGGGTCGGGGGGCCCAGGAGTCAGAATGGCTGTGGGGAGCAGAGGGACACTCACCAATCCCAGCATGCACTGGGACTCTTGCACGGCCCCACAGCAGCCCAGGAAACCCACCACCATTATGAGGGCACCGGCTCCAATCAGAATATAAACTCCTGCGGGGAGAAGAGAGAGGACAAGACATGGAGACACTGGACGTGGAGGCCCAGATACTTCCTGCAATTCCTTTTCCTTCTATGTGACTCTGCGCCACCCTCCGTCCTTAAAAAACAGCCTCCTCCGCCTCTGCTCTTAAGTCTCCTTCCCATCAGTTTCTCTTCTAGAACCCCACCCCATCAAGTCCTCACTCCTACCTCACCCTCTAGTCTTCCTGGAAGGTGCCCATTACTGCCCAACCTGGACAAAGAATAACCATGGGAACCCCCAGATTCCACTTAGGACACAAGCTGGTCCAGTCTGGCAGCTGCTTCCAGCACGATGAATCCACTCATGCTAATTAAAATAGACCCTCCAAACTTGGGCTAACTTCCTGGGACTCAGACGAGCCTCCTGCTGGCCTTGACTGGACAGAAGAGGCTGTCAGAGCAAGCTTTCAGCAGGAAGGGGCTGTGCACATTCAGACAGCCATGCTCTGGGCTGGCCAGCTCTGCTTGATTCCCAGCAGGGAGGCCTCCCCCCACTGCTGGGTGGCCGTCAGGCACAGGCAGTTAGTCATACCCAAGAGCTGATGTTGGCAAAGGCAGGAGTCCCTTGCTCTAGTGCAAAGAACACAGGCCTGGTGTCAGAAGACCCTTGTTTTGGTGTCAACTCTGCTACTAACTGCTGTGAGATCCTGGGTAAGACACTTTTCTCTCTGGGCCTCATTTTATATATCAGTAAAATGAGAACTTGGTTGTTGGAAAATTTTAAAAGATCCCTTACAGTACACTAAAGAGATCTTACAGTGCAATTCAGTTACCCCAGGTTAAGGGTGAAAAGGGGCCCTCCTTGCTAAAGGGCGGGAGACCAACACGGTTGCTAAGCCCTCAGTTTGAGCGCGGTGAGAAGGGCAGTGACTTCCACAACCTCAGACCCCACACAACGCAAACTCCTGGGACAGGGGAACACAGTGGAGCGCCCTGGCCCCAGTGACTCCACTACCCCTCAGGGAATGTCTAGAGGGGCCCATCTTGCCGTTATATCTTGAGAAGCCACAGCTGTCCTGAAGGGACCACCCCCTTACCCGGAAGGCCCCATGGGAGAACTGGCAGCAAGTCCCATGCCTCCCTGGCTCGCAGGCATGTCCTGTTCAACTGTGGGAGGGACTCCTGTCACATGTTGAGAGCACTAGCTCTGTGACCCTGGGAAAGCCACTTCATCTCTCTGTGCAACAGTTTTCTATCTTCAAGACAGAGATGTAAGCATGCCTGCCTCAAGGACTATTGTGAAATTAAGTGATATCATCCAAATGTGCACAAAAAATGCTGGCTATTGTTAATGTAAATAATACGAAGGATGGATGATTATTAATAATCACAGTGATGAATTTTACATACTTGTTGCTCCCTCCCTACTGTCCCCTAATTGGGACCAGGGAGACTTCCTTAAAGTAGGGGATGAAAGTGAGAGAGTCGGTGACGTTTCCCCACAATACACAACAGGATCCTGTAATGAGGACACTCAGCAGGTGTCACAGTGACTTCACTGTCCCCCTGCTAGGGGCTGAGGCTTTGCAGGCCGTCTGCCCGCAGCTGAGGCTCCCGGCGGCATGGAGCAGAGCACACACAAGGGAGCATTTGTGGCTCCCCTTTCCCCCATCTGTCGTGAGGTCAAGTCACGTGGGTTTCCTGGCAAACCCCTATGTTGTATGAATATGGGTATTGTTCCCGTGCATGCCCGGCCCAGACTGGGCAAGGGGACAAATGTGGCTTGTCCTCGAGTCAAGTCCCATCCTCCTAGGCCGTCCAATACCGTGGGGCTACAGGCTGGACTCGGAGGGGCAGTGCAGCCCCACGCACAGGCGTGGCGGCAGGACGGGCAGCCGCCCTCAGGTCTGGGCTCTGACATGGGGACACCAACGAGCCAAGGGCATCAAATGGCCCCAGCTTCTCCCCATCTCATCGGGGCAAGACAACCAAGGATGAGGTCACTCCTTTGAGCGCCAAACCAGGGGCTGAATAAATAGGGGGTATTAAGAGATCAAAAGGATTTACGAGCACATGAAATAGAGTCGACGGGGAATGAACAGACATGTTTTCTCTAAGTCCAGATCCCAGTTCCTAAGCCCAGGTAACCCTGGCAGAAGTCAGGACAGATGGGTCAGCAGCAATAGTGAGCTACTGAAGGAAAAAGTATTTTCCATGCAGAGAGAAAGAACATTCTTCCAACGGGCCTCTTGGTTAATAGTAAATATTCATTCTTGGGCTCAGTAGATGAAGATTTTGGGACAAAGGGTCTTGCTGGCTTTAAATCTTGCTGGGACAGCTGCAGATCTGGGGTGTTTCAGCTTCACCCTCTCCATTTAGGGGTGGAGATGAGCAATTCTCTGGCAGCTGTTGATGGGGACATCCAGCAGCAGCCATCCAGCTATGGAGCGGGTGTGCAAGCAGCGCCCCCGGAAGCCAGGGAACCAAGCGGGGCGTCGGCTGCTTAAAAGGGCCACCCAGGGCTTCCCCCTAGACAGGCTCCTCCCGGCGCACACCAGAGCTTGCTAGCAAAGGCCGGGATGATAAATGACAGAGCATTCCCCTTTATAAAACAAGTGAATGTTAGCTTCTGTCTGACTCATGGAAAAAGTTATCCGTCACGGAGCCTTCTCTACGATTACTGTATTATTTTGCTAAGGGCTATTTATTCTGCTTTTTCTTCAGGCTGACATTATAGGCCCAGTCAAAAAAAAAAAAAAAAAAAGGCTTTGGTGTAGCAGGAGCATGTGCAAGGATGTCCTTTACAGACAAAATGGAGCATTCTTTTCCACTTGCTTATCAGGGCTCGGCTTCAGCAGGGAATGGACACATCAGCTTCCTGTCAGCACCCTGACCCCATCTTGCAAACAGCGCTTGCCACACCTGTCTGTGTGGAGAACAAGATCCGGCAGGGCCTCTGGCGTCCACTAGCTTGGAACAGTTTATTATCTCCAAATAACTCTATCAGAGCTTCAAAGGAATCCTAACTCTGCTCTCCAAATGGCTCTCCCTTGGTCCCCCTCGGTCCCATTGACAGCACGTCTCATTAATAAGCACCACAGTGGGGCCGGCCCTGTGGCTTGGTGGTTAAGTGCGCGCGCTGCAATGCTGGTGGCCGGGGTTCGGATCCCGGGTGCGCATCGAGGCACCACTTCTCCCTCCATCCTGAGGCCGAGTCCCACATACAGCAACTAGAAGGATGTGCAGCTATGACATACAACTATCTACTGGGGCTTTGGGGGGAAAAAATAAAATAAATAAAATCTTTAAAAAAAAAAAAAAAAAAAAAAAAAAATAAGCACCACGGTGGACTCCATTAGCCAAGCATGGGAATTCTCTGCCTCAGAGGGGTGTGGGTGTGTCAGCTCTGCTGGTTTCAGGAGGGGAAAACCAGGCACAGAGCTACAGAACAAACTGCCCCAGGCCGCCACGGGGAACGGTCCTTGGGAGGGGTGGACATCCATGGCCTCTGGTTGGAGCCCCCCAGATACCTTCATTCAGTGGCTATAGGTCTGGAAGGAAACCAAGGAGTTAAGAAGGGCTACTGGCCTGGGACCAAGAAAATGAAGTTCCCCAACATGTTTGCAGCCTAGGATTACGGATACTGCTGATGGGCTGGATCTCCAGGGCCTGAATCGGAGAGAAGGCCCATATAAGGCATCAGCTGCTCTGGATCCACTATAGACTGTTCTGAACGTTGGAAAGTTTCTTTTTTCACTTGCTTCTCTGCCTGGCTATGCATTCTTTCTCTACTTCGAAAGCTGTGGCCCCGCTGGAGAAAAGACACCATGGGTCCTTCAGGTTTCTCAAAGGGTCAGCTGCGTGGTTAGGCTGGCCTGTGGGTTGCCCTACAGATGGTTAGTGCCCCAGTGCAAGGGACAGTCACCCCATGATGTCGGGAGTAGGGCCAGGTGGGGCTGGCACTCTCTGCTGGTCTCAAAGCCCGAGGGGGAAGGGGACACAGAGATTGAAGCCTCCTTGTCCTTTTGGCCCCGGACGACAGTTATGCCTTTTCCCAAAGCACTCAGTGAAGTGAGGGCCCAGACCCTAGTGGTCACTTGGCTGACAGACGTCTAGTGTCACTGCATCGCCCCACTCCCTGGGCTTCCACAAGCAGAAGAAAGTCTACGAAGCTGAGCCCTTTCCCAGGAAGGGGGTCCAGCCCAAAGGGTCTGTATTCCTCTGTTAGAGCTAAGGGGACAGCGGCCACCAGCCCCCAACTAGGGATTGCTGTGTCTCTTTGAGATTGAGATTGTGCATTCAAGTCACCCTCATGGTCACTTCAGGCAGGACCACTGCTCACCGGGGGACCTGAATCCTGTGAGGCAGGCCCCGACTCTTCCAACTGTGTGCTCATCACTGTCCTCACTCTGCATGACCTTCCCACCTGTCATCTGCTGGCCAGGGCCACCGGCACTGGGGGCTTCTCTCCCTCGACTACAATTTGGGGGAAGTTAAAAGGCCAAGAAAGCCTCCACCTGGCCCCTGGCAATGGGGACTGTGCAGTCAGTGGAGATGTTTTCTAGTCCTACGTGGGGAGTCCCCCACAGTCGAGCACAGATAATCCAAGACGCAGCTTTCACAGGCCTCGTTCAAATCCTAGCCTTGCCTCTTGAGGGACATGAGCTGGGGCGAGTTATTTAACCTCTCAAGGCCTCGGTGTTTTCATCCATGAGATGGGAATCATTCTACATACCTTAAGGAGTTCTGGGGGTTAAATTATATAACAATATGTGTGAGAAGTGAGACATACAGAGAAGGGTTCAAAAATGTGTCTTCCTCATTCCATCCACTCACCAAGCAGATCCTTACCTCCCACGTCTAAAAATACACAGAATTAGCCAGAGTCCTAGATAACAAAAGATGGGAACCGGGTTTTGGGAGTGGCAAGAGCGCGTGGAGCCAGGCATCCTGCAGAGAACAATGGAGACGGGGCACGGGAGGCTGGGGGCTCTCCTCAGGATGACCGGCCTGAAACAGTGCCACCTGCCACCGCATTGCTGCTGGCAGATCTGCTCTCCCCGCAGAGGGTTCACAGCTCCCCGGTGTGACACGACATGACATGACATGACTCGGAGTGCTCAAGGCCTCCCCCAGCCCCCCCACCTCCTGCACTGCAGGCCCCCTGCAGACTCACAAAATCGCTGTTGCTGAAACAAGTCAGGACACTATGGAAACCTGATCCCTAAAAACTCTGTGTGTGTGTAGTTTTTTTTAAAAAACCTTATATTGTGCTTTCCTTTTCCACAATTTTTTTCTTACAATAGGGAGACATACCCTAAAACCCCCAAATAACAACAACAACAAAAAGCAATGAAAGGAGGGAAACACTCCACAGGGCCCACCAGGCGCCTGCCATGCAACCAACTGGGCTGTGCCAGTCTGCCCAAGTTGGTCTCTGGGAGATAGGGAGGGACCCGCACGCCAGCTGACCACTGCGTTCTTCCTGAAGGCCTGGGTGATAACTCTCTTCAGACTGTTTTCTCTTTTTTTAAAAATAACTTCTCTGGTGGGTGGGAAGGAAGGGACCAAACTTACAGCTTGAGCCTGATGACATGACAGCATCACCCTAAAAATAGGGGGCTGCTTTTGTTTCTCGCAAATGAAGTGTTTCCTATCCCCAAACCAGGCAGAAAGGAGAGCCACAGACTCTGTGAGCTGACTAGGAAACTGGGGAATTGCATTCGACAGGCCTCAGCGCTCCCTCTCCTCTTAGAGAGGTGTTTACATGGCGATACAGCAGTGAAAGTGACAGAACTATGCTGGAAAAGATACCAAGATGCCTGTGTGTAGAAAGAAACCTGCTAAGTCTATTCATGTTTAAATTGGAAACCTTTGCCCTAAAGTAAAAGCACTTTAGAAAACAAACAAATAAAACTTAACACCCATGGCACGTACACCAGCACCAGAGGTCCGAAGGACTGGTGTCTCTGCTAGTCTCTTGTATTTGACCGTATTATCCCAGAGGTAGGTCTTTCAGGTCTCAGAGCCCCAGCGGGAAGAAGTCACCTCTCCCTTTCCTGGCACTGGGGATCCCCAGGACAAAGTTTTTTGAATTAAGGAAATGATCAAGCCTAGGAAGATATGAAATTAGAGAGGATCAGGGATGAGAACAGAGGTTCCTTTTTTTTTTTTTGTGAGGAGATCAGCCCTGTGCTAACATCCACCAATCCTCCTCTTTTTTTGCTGAGGAAGACGGCCCTGGCCTAAGATCTGTGCCCATCTTCCTCCACTTTATATGGGACGCCGCCACAGCATGGCTTGCCAAGCAGTGCGTCGGTGCGCGCCCGGGATCTGAACCAGCGAACCCCGGGCCGCCGCAGCGGAGCGCGCGCACTTAACTGCTTGCGCCACTGGGCCGGCCCCAAGAACAGAGGTTCTTAAACCCTCAAGAGTGGCAGCAACTTTGGCAGAGCCAACTTCACATCAGAGAATGGTCAAAATGCCAGACTTAGCAGGAAAAAAAACCCCTATCAGTCAAATGCAAATGCATGGGCACAACTACACAAAAGCATGGCCTAAAAGTGACATGACTGGCCACTGTGGCCAGAGCAGAAGTCTTTCCCAGCCCAAGTCCCTGGATCAACACGGCCTCTCCACAGCTGGAGGAAGCACCAAGTCTCCCCTCCTCACCTGTGTAGAAGCTGGAATTATTATTTTCTTGCTCGAAGATGCTCTTTGTCTGAGAGTCGAATCGGAGCCATAGTCCAATGGCAAGGACCGCGATCCCAGCAAGCTGCAAGATACACAGGATGTCAGCGTTAATCCTGGCAGCCAGGGACAGCATGGTCCCCGAGTGCTGAAGGGCCAGACTTGCAAAGGAGTTTGGGACCACTCTCGGTCTCTGCCCCTCACCATGCACCTGCGAGTAGCAGCAGCCAGGGTGGGGGTGGGGGAATCAATCCGTTTGCTAAAAATATCAGCCAGCCAGGAATAAACAATCATCTCCCAGCAGTACAGTGGTAGGATGGCCACTTTAGGGACAATAGAATACTATACAGCAGTGAAAATGAACCAGCTGTAGCTGAGTGCAATACTATGAATGCATCTCAGGATGCCACCCAAGAGAAGCAGGAGCTGCAGAACACATACAATATGATTCCACAGAGTTAAAAATTACTATGCTGTTTAGGGGTGCCTAGAAGTGACAAAGGAAAGAAAGAAAGTGATTATCATAAAATCAAGTGAGTGGTGATCTGTAGGTGGAGGGAGGGATTTCTAACAAGGGACTAGCACTGGGGGGTGGGGTCAAGGGCACTGGCAATATTCTAGCTTTTGCCTTGGGTGGTGGCAACATGGATATCCACTTCATAACTATTCTTTAAACCGTTCATGTTTTATGCACGACTCTGTACATATAGCATACAATAAAAAAAGAAAAAAAAGTCACTCAAAGGGCACACCCATGCACCGAGGGCACCTGTGATTCCTTATCAAACCACCCTGCTCAGTAAACGACATATCAGAGTCTCCCCTCAGTTGCCCATATTTTGTCCTTTCCCTCTTCACACAGGGAAACCTTACAAGCTGATCCACTCAGTTCCAGGTTTTAGGTCCAGGCTTCCTTACAAGGGATTCTTGTAAACATCAGACATCCTTATAAACATCCAGAAACCTCCATTGTAATCTTCCCACCTTAGAATTTTATGAAAATCCCTTTTCATAGGTGGGCAAGTTGAGATACTGGACCCTACAGGGCAGATTTTCCCAATAAGGAACAGAACTGAGCCCTCCTGGCATTGTTTAACTAGACGCCTGTGGAGAAGGCCTCTTGCCAAGCTCTCCCCCACCCTCCCGTGCCAGCTGAGGTCTCGAGCTCGCACCAGCCCCCCAGTTCTTGCCTGGGAGCGACTCCCAGGCTGCAGTGTAGTGGCTGCCTGGATGCTGAGTGTGGGCTCCCGGCCAACGCCCAGGCCCCAGGTTTCACTGGCCCTCCCTTCTCAACAGAGGCGCCCTATGTCAGAGCCCTGCGCTTCAGTGAACTTGGTTCTCTGCCCCAGGAGCTGGCACAGCCTGTGGTGTGGACAGGCCTCTCTTTCTTTCCTTCTTTGCTCCTCTCCTTTTTCCCATGACTTGGCAGTGGGTTTGGACGTGTTGGGTGAAGAGTGGAGATGGCAGCAGTGGAAAGGGAGACCCAGACCTCAGCCTGCAGTAGAGTCAAACCTTGCCTAGACCCCCAGTGCTGTCAGCTGATATGGGTGTGTTTCCTTTCCACGAGGATCCGGAATTCCTGGCTTAGAGTTCTATTGCTTCAGTTTTCACATTTGTAAATCAGGAATGGTGAGATGTGGCCCTTCCTTGCCTTTTATGTGTGGCTAAAGAATACAGGAGAGTATATGAGAAACACTTCGGAAGGAGGTACCACATGAGCTTTGTGAGAACGACTTTATCAGCACTCAGACCACCAGTGTTGCACGCCCACCCCCCATTTAGCATCTTCCCAGACCTCTCAGTCCTCATCTTAGGGAAGGTGACACCAAACATCAGTAAGAACTACGCAAGGCCAAGTACCCCGGGGCCAGACAGTGCAGAAAAGAAAGACTCATGGATGCCAGGCTTGAAGGAGTAGGAATTTTAGAGTTAAAATGAACCCGAGAACTTTGGGTTCAAACAGACGGGTCAGGTTTTCCTTATTAACAAAAGACATGCAGGTGAGTGAGGGTGTCCTGGCCTAATCCAAAGACAGCAGCCATGGCTCGGGGAGAAGTATGAGTCTCTCCCTCATCCCCAGCCTGGGAACTCTGGTTCAGATGGGGTTCTCCTGACTCAGAAACACCTCCGTTAGGGCAGGGGCATCGTGGGGCCCAGCGGGGACACCCCTGTACACTGGGTACTGGACACATACACACTAAGTGGGTGTGGACTCCACAGTGGGCAGGCCCTGGCCTAGCTCCCCCAGGGTCCTGGAGAGTTAAAAGAAAGAAGGTGGTATTTTTCCCCTCTTCCCCCAACACATGGAGGCCCAATCAGACCCCCGGAAAATGGAAGACTGAGGCTGCTGGCTTCCTTGTGGACATGAACGTGTTGACCTGAGAACCGTGTAGGCTGGAGCTAAGTTTTGGTTAGCACTTAGCCACAACCCCTGACCTCCCTCTCAGCGTCATCTTCATCTCCGTGGTGCTGTTGCCGAGAGCACCCAGGACCTGAGAGGCACTGTCCTTTATTGTCCCTTCTGTTCTAGGCTTGTGCTTATCAAAGAATTATCCTCAAGGCATCTTATTCTCCCTGTTGATAAAATTACCCACCTGCCTCTTATTCTGCCAGGGAAATTCTTAAACAAGTCACCATGGAAAGAATAAAAACAATCCCATCCAAAAGAACTAAGCTACAAAAGATTTTGGAAAGCTACCCTCTGTACAGAAGCCCCTCACGGGCAGGAGCTGGGTCTCTGGAAATGAGTCCACGCTCAGATAACGGCAGGGCACCCAAATCAACCTTCCACTGGTGAGGCCTCTTCCAATTTGTAATTTCAAGGCTCCTGAGCCAGTTTGTAGAAGTCCATTCATCTGTCTGGTCTACAGGCACAGGCGGCAAGGACACTGTGCTGGAAAACTGGAAGCAGACAGGGAAGGACTTCAGGTCTCACCCCGGCCACGGAGAAGGCCAGATGCAGGAGTCGGAGGTCCCGCATGTTTGGACCCCACCCCAAACCCAAGGTCATGCTGCCTGGTTGTCAACACCAGAAGACTTTGCTAAAATGAGGAAAGAAAGGTGGCTAGCTCTGGAGAAAATGGAAAAAACGGTAATAGATCTCAGTCTCTTACACCTAAAAAACACACCATAAGAGAGGAGAAAGGTTCAAGAAACCCAGGGGGAAGGGACGTCAGGGGCAGGACAGGGAGCACTCGGTTCAACAACATCACAGAGGAATGAGTCCTGCTGCCTTTCTGGATTAAATTACTGAGTTAACTGGCCTGAGGGATGCTATATAAGCCCTCAGCTGCCCCATTTTCTGTAACGCTACTGGAGAAATTGCCTCAGTTGGCTGGGTCACGATGGCTGGGGGGTCACAGGGCCACGAAATGTGTATAATTGGCGTCACCTAATAATGGCTCCCACGGTTGTGCAGGCAGCACCATCTAAGGAGCTCTGAGTACTTCCCAGGAGAACTCACTTTGTGGTGTGGCACAGAGGGGCTCCCCAGCCCCCCACCTGGCTCTCGCCCCCAGCTACTTGAATACTAGGAGAAACTAAATTGGAAGGGATCAGCAAAAACCAAAGAGAGCTTTAACCTTTAAAAAATGGCACCCAGTCAATTATTAAGGGACTCCATAAAAATAAGAAAATAGGAGGCCAAGAAGTTGACGGTTTCCTCCCAGGTTAATTCACTGATGTGTGGCAGGACTGTTGGCCACACACTTGCCCCTCAGCGCGGGACCCAGGCAGGTCTGATGTGGACGCTCAGTTAGACAATCCTCTGCTCACAGAGCCCTGGAAAGAGGACAGCGACCTGCCCAAGAGCACTACCTGGTCTGGTGGGGATGGAAATAGAAAGTCCACCTCTACTCCCAGCCCCAGGCCCAGCCTACAGTCTGCATGGCTACCTCTCCGTTTCCAATTAAAGCCCGAGGGAAACATTCTGGTTTTGCTAAGAAAAGCTTCGTTGCCTCTGGGCCAGAAATGGTCCCATCCATTTGATAGTGCGGGGAGAAAAAAGATAGATTTTTCCCATTGTTTTGCTTGGAATTTTTTTCTTTTCTTCATGCATGCTCATTTTTTTCTTAGAAGACGGGCCATGAGAAAAACATGAGACAAATCTAAATTGAGGACATTCTACAAAATAGTTGACCAGTACTTCTCAAAACTGACAAGGTCATGAGAAACAAGGAAAGACAGAAACAGTCACAGACCAGAGGAGATGAAGGAGACATGACAGGCATCATGTGGTATCGTGGATGGCATCCTGGAATGGGAAGAGGAAGTTACTGGAAAAACAAGTGCAATCTGAGTAAGTCTAGTTTAGTGAACAGTAATGTTCCAACGTTGGTTTCTTAGCTGTGACAGATCTAACATGGTAATGTAAGGTGTCAGCAACAGGGGAAACCAACGAGGAGTATGAGGGAACTCGCTAGACTATCTCTGCCAATTTTTCTGTAGCTCTAAAACTTTTTAAAAGTGTGTGTGTGTATATATCTATTTATTATTTATATGAAGATGGGGCCTCTCTTTCAAAGCATCCCGTCTCCTTCAAGAACCTGCTCCATGAATCCACCTCTTTCCTGCCTCTGTTCTCTGTCTCTGCCACTGGCTCACTTGGTGCCAACACCTGTGGGCAGGTCTCTCTATCCTAAAAACCAAACAGAAAACAAACCCTCTCTTCCTTCAGCCTCCCTGCTCCTTCTGGTTGCTCTGTGCTTCAAAACCCCGGCTTGCAGCTAACCCACCTCCAAGACCACTAAGTAAGTGGTCACCGCTCCACTCTCCCAGCCTGCCTCCTGCCCTTCATGCCCTCCAGCTGTTTCTCCGAAAGGCTGCAGATGGCTTAGGTTGGTCACCAACCTTTAGGGCTTTTGCTCCACTGTCACATTTTGTGATCTCTCAGCGGCACGACACCGTTCCACCCTGCCTCCTCCTCATCGGCTCCTTAGATGGAATCGCTCGAAGTTTCCCAAATAAGTCTCGTGGACTCCCGCCTCTGCTCATGCAAGTCCCTCCTCCTGGGAAGCCGTTGTGGCCAGCTAGGCCTGCTGCGTCCCCACGGTTTCCTCAGTCTCCTCCCAAGGAAGTGCAATCCCT